TATGTGACGTAACGAATAACTGCACACATTGCGTGTTAAAGAAAATAAAAAAAGAAAAAAAAAGAAAAAAAAAAGAAAAATAAATTAAAAAGAAAAGGAAAATATAAGAAAAATACAGAAAAATAAAAAGCACGTGGGTATGTAAACGAGACAAAAACTGGTATGTATCGCATAAAAACGTAAAAAATAAAAGAGCATTAGAGGTTTTAGGTATGCCTTAAATATACTGCGGAGAGTAAGCTTAAATGCATTAGAGGAAGAGAAGAAGAGTTCATCTAGGATCCAACAAGAGAGAAAGAGGCAGAGAAAGGTGAGAGAGAGAGTTTGAAACTCTAACGACACAGGTTAGTAACAATTTACAAAAGTACCTAAGTTTTAATGACCAACGCAAACAGTTCCAACGAATGGCCACGTTCAATGAACGTGTCGAACAGAGAATTTTTAACGAAGTTACCTGATTATATCACAGATGAAACGGCACATATGTATAATACACTCTTAACATATACCTCGTTATTTACGTATGTGTATGCACACAATATATATATATATTTGTATATACATGTATTTAGTACCTACTAACGTATGTATTCGTATACATCCACACATATTTATACGAGTACATGATGGGATGAGATATATTAAACGTCGAGAGATGGTACTTGAAATGTTCGCGAGTGGTGGAAGCAAGTTTTCACTTAAACGTATAGCCATGAAGACGGTCGAGCGTAGACTGCAAGACTCAAGGTAAACGACAAGTCATGAATCAAAACAACGCACGGTATTGTTAACTTTCGTTTGCCCTGTACCATTCAAAACATGTGTATACATTCACCGTATTGTATACGAGAGAACACGAACAAAGGTATAAAGAAAAACTCCGATTCTCACACAAAGTGATTTTAAATTAATTATATAGAATTATATTATTCGTAATCATATATATACATGGTGATGCACTAACTCTTGCCACCAAGATGTTGTATAAACTTTTCTGCTACTATTATACTTTCGGAGCTATCTTGGTGGCAAGAGTTTGTGAATCATCCTGTATATTAACGTAATGCAGTTAAAAAAATATAAATCTGAAGTTAATAGGTTATCTATACTGCGAGATAAAGCATAAACTCTGTTGTTCGAAATTGGAATGATTAATTAATCAGACTCAGTGAGCTTGCACTTAAGTGACTTTGGTAGCTCCAGAAGGTATGACCGCAGACAAGAATCCTAGGCCGGTATCAGATACGACGGTATTTAATCTTTCACAAATTTCCGAGCAGGAATGGTTAGTACTTCCACTTAAAAACGTTCAAAAAATGAAACCGAAAAAGGACCATTTTTTTCCTCTTACAAACACACACACTAACGTAGAAATAATCTAAAATACGAACAAAATTATTTTTTCTAAACGATACTTCTCAATGAAATAAAATAGAGAAATTTTTAAATGAAATCTTGACAAATTTATGTTCATACGTATAAATATATTTCTGAAGTTGTCTCGTAAATATTCAAATTCTCATTTGAAGAAAAATGTTGTAAGTTAAATCTTAGGTTAGATCGATAATTGACAATTCCCTTCTCTCTTCCCGTCTGCTTCCATTTCTTCATTTCGAAGAACCATAACGAGTGAAATTTGTATACATATCGCTTATTTTGGAAATCATGTATGTATATCTCTTAGTACAGTGTACGTGTGTATCCTAATTCCCATGGAACCTAATCGGTTCTATCAATGCGACCGTAATTATGTAAATGATGAGAATATTAGACTTGCTTCAGATGTCTACCGTCGAAGACACTTTAGATTCCTTTTTTTTTGTTTATGTTCATACGATCAAATAGATTTCGCAGTTCGATCGTTTCTATACGAATTTCTAATAGATTTTTTATTCTTTCATCAGAAAAAAATAATTGGATAAAGAACAAATTGATAAAATGGATGTAGGATACTTTAGAAAAAAAAATATTTTTATTTTCATGATTTAGAAAGTACGATTTTTTAAGATTTTGTAGAGTCACGAAAAATGATTATGTTATCATCATTACTATCGTTTAATTTCAATCATTATTAATTGTTCGGAAAAAACAACTCTTTTAATTGTAAGTCTTTGTTAAATGTGAATTTAATTATTCGAGTATCTCTTCCATCTCACCACACTTTCTTTTTCTCTTTGTCTTTCTTTCTCTTTGAACATTTAAACTCGCACGTTTCATATAAGTTATATAGAAACTTCCGTAGTAAAAATTTTAGTTAAAGACTGATGAAATTTCTACTCCATTATTATGTGAATAATGTTGACAGACGCTTCTATTCAATTTATTATTTATTATTCTGTTTTGTTTTTATTAATGATGTGATTAATATCTTAATTTTATTAATTTAATTTGAAATATGCCAGAGGCGAACCTTTTAATTTATTCGACGATATGATTTTTGATATTGAAAATATATTATTCGATAATAATCTTCTAACGACACCTAATTAATTATTCAACGAATTTTTAATTCATCGATTTTAACGTTTTATTAATTGATTGACATTCATTCGATAGGATGTAATTTATTTATAATATATGTCGATAAACAATGATCCAACATTCCAGAAATAAAAAAATGTTGAAATTAAATTATTCTATAAAAAAATGTTTGTAATATTTTTTTTAAACGCCGATCGTATAAGTGCAACAAAAAATCACAAACCGCGTTGAAAACCCTAATTTATCTTGGAAATGATTATTAAAAATGATAATTACATTAAAACGATAATAATTATGTAGAAAATATGATTATAAGAAAGCACACATACAAATACAATTATTTTGACCTCGATCAGATCATTGTGCCGTTATTAATGTACTTCGTTAATGATTTTTTTTCTCTTCTTCTTTTTCCTCTTTTTTTTTTCGTTCATTTCTCGTCTTACCCCGCTGACCTTCTCTCGTCGACCTTTCGTATAATTAACGGACGTCAAATTTGCGAAAGGAACACGCCACGCAGTCTCGTGCGATCAATTTCTTAATGCACAAGGAAAATCACAGCGATTACTTAATTGAGAATAATAAAACGAACAAATTTAATATTACTATTATTCTTATTATATAGCGCGATGTTAATTATTTCTAACACACAATTAAACAATTTAATTAGATTCTTATATTATTTTTATTTTGTTACAGGATTTATATTTTTATCCAATTTTTTATCATCCAATAACTTTAATAGATCACACAAATTATTGCGTTAATCTTATTATTTTATTTCTAATAAATTAAACCAAAAAATATAGCATCACTTGAAAAGATTTGTTATTTATTTTTTAGGGGAAGATTAATTTCTATTTTGTGGAATGGAGAAAATATAGAAGTAAATGGGAAGTTAAAAGAGTAATTAGAACAAAATAACGTTAATCGAGTGATACAATACGTATAACGTTTCGAGATCCTTGATTAATGACAAAAGAGTGACTGGAAAATTTGCTCGAATCCGAACAATGACGATGAAATTCTTTGTTCGGAGTTGGATTAAATTGCTCTTTGAAAAATGAATCGTTGTCGTTTTAATCAAGTTATACGAGTGACCGTTCAACCTAAAGGAAAAACATGATTCTTTCTTCTCTAGTAGCTACAGAATTTCTTTAATTCTTTTTTTTTTTCTTACTAATTAGGTGGTCCCAAAAATTTACATAAAATTATATTAAATTAACCAGTTTAATGATACGAGTTTCAGTAATAGGAAGCATAAGAAACGACAAAAAAAAAATGGTCATAATACGAGACCCGTTTATTTTAATTGTCTACTTTCCGTTAAAATCGACCCACCGAAGGAAAATAATTTCTTATAAATATATATTTATAGGACAATAAAAAATTTATATTTATTATAGTAGCCTCGCGAGAAAGAAAAAGTTGAACTTTTAACGAAACCGAAATGGACCATTTGTTCGTCCTTTCGATTCTGTTAATTTATTCATCTTGATTTATTTCTCCTTGGTTTCATCTCCAATATTGAATATCAATAATTTTGTTTTTTATATTATTATATTATAATTCTCTATAACATAAATAAAAGTATTTGTATACAAAAAAATATCTTTACAAAAGTCATCGAGGATAAAGAAACATGGAGGGAAGGGGAGAGGACAATATTTTACTTTACAACTGTAAAAAAGGATCTATTAACTAGCAAAATGTTAATTATATTTTTTGTCGGGTTAAATAAAAAAGAAAAGGAAAAAAAAAACAAGAAGAGTAAAGGAAGGATAGGATTATTCGAGAATAAAATCAACATAAAATCGAATGAAAAAATAAATAAATAACAAAGAAAATGAAGAAGATGTTTCGAGATATCAGAGATCTAAGAAGATTTCACAGTAGCCAAAGAAAATCAGTGAAGCAACTAATTTGAGATTGATCGATTGGATCGTTTTGCTATCGAAATAGCCATCAAAGCGTAAACACACACGACACGTGAAATTCCAAATCAAATCATACGGCCTATGCTCAGATCGAACTCTGTTCTGTTTCAATACATGTGCAATATATATTATATATATACAAACACATATATACAACGATTCATCCGGACATGTTAGGAGCAAAAAGGCCTTTGTCCATATCCAACCTGTTAGGGATCAAAGAATGTGTTCACGTTGGCAAGCTTGTTCAATTTTTATTCGAAAGGTTGCGTGCAAATACTTACGATTCAACAAAAGACTAGATAAAACAATAAAAAATAGAAAAATAAATATCAGCTGATTTAAACAATACTATGATAAATATCTAATAATAGTAATTACATAAATACGAGTATGGCATTGACGTGTTATATAATATTAAAAAGATGAGCGATCAAATATAATTAAATACACAAAAATAAGGAAACAACATAATAACATGGAAATAATGTAAAAATAAAGAATTACATAATTAATAACACAACATTACAAATAATAAAATGTAAAAAATAATATAAACTTTGAAAAAGAAAAGGGGACAACATAAACATATAAAAACAATCTTTAAAAAATTATTAACATAAAAACAAGTTATCACTCGGATATGATGTAAAATAGAAAAAATAATAAAAGCAAGTATAAAGAGTAAAATTTGAAAAGGGTGTAAAGGTAGGGGTAAAAGATAAAAGATGAAAGATAAAAATTAGAAAGAACAAGAGAGGGTAATCCTCCCTCTCCCCTCTCAATTCTCCTCCCCACCGATCACGAACACATCTACATTGACAATTAATCGATGTATTCACACAGAGATAGCTCTCAATAAATATAAAGACAGGAGTGGTAGCCTGGCAGACTATTAGTCTTTCTCTCGATCTCGTGACCGGTTCGCAGCACTTTCCATGTGTCTCTCTTCGAAAAGGGATCGTAAATTCCTGTGAGATTTAATCGGTAGATCGTTGTTGGTGCCGAGACAGACAGAGACGTTCTCGTTGGATAAAACCCACGTGCTTTCTTTTTGTTTTGTTGTCAACCTGCTACAGCTAACACACACATTTTTTATTTTCCTACCGTTCTGTTCGTTTGCTACTATTTTTGTTCTTTTTTTTTAAACCTGAGAGAAAATTGGATCATATCGAATATGCCTTCGATATCAAGAAAAAATCTTAACCAGTTTATCCTGCTACTTGGTATCCTCGTTCCTGTTATCTTATCCTTCAACATGGTTCGAGCTAATTGCACAGGAAAAAAGATGCTACGTAAGTAAATGTATACATTCTCTTTGATCGATATTTTATAATGAAATTATCATTTTAAGACAAAAATTCAAAGAATACGAAGCTTCGAGTGAGCAAGTTTAAGATGAATCATTGAGAAAAAAAATTGATTAACGGAATGTTTACTTTGATAATGTGATTATGCAAATGAAGTTAGATTGATTAAAAGAATATTGGATTACCCGGGTGGTTGTTTTTAAATATTATAACGTGTTAGATTAAATTTTATCAATCGAATCGATATTTTAAGCATCGAGTTACGAATGTTTAAAATACAATTTCAATACTTTTCAATATATATATAATTCTTTATATAATAATTCTTTAATAAAAAAAAAAGGAAAAAACAAGAGGGGAAGCTCGGAGAGATAGATAGATAATAAAATGCAGACTTTGTAGGAATGATAATTACCATCTAGGATTAAAATCGTTCTTAATTAAATGAAAGTGTGGCGATGACACGACGAGCAACGGGTAAGGTACGCTTTGTTTTCCTTTCGTCGATTAATAACCACCTGTTCTAAACGCCCACCTATGTATGTTCACACACATCCCCACATAACTCAACACAAATCCATATACACGTATATACATAGTAAGACACATAAGAACAGAGAGAAAAAGAGGTAGAGAGAAAGATACATTTATACATATGAATGATACACGTTGATGCACATGCATATATGCATGTTCTCGTATGTGTGTGTGTATATATGTGTCTGTCGAGAGTATAAACGACTGTTCGCAACAATCTCTTTTCTTTCTCTTGTTGGACAGACAACGTATAAATCAAATTAATGCACTCGTTATGTTCCCGTCCCAACAACTGTCTGAAACGTCAATTTCTTTTTTCTTAGCGGAAATGAGAAGGGCTTGGCCAGTATGTAACCGATTCGATTCTCTTCGATCCATCGTACTAACCCACACACACACACACACTCACACATACTATTTCTGTTTCATTCCGTTTATCGTGGATCACACCTAAATGGACTACGTGTGACGAGGTCTGTACTAACTAAAGCGACTATGACGAGTTTCCTATTCGATTCTACCTTATTCAAAGTTTATACTCTCTCTCTCTCTCTCTCTCTCTTTCTCTATTTATGGTTGTTTCATTCCTTCACATCCCTTCCCTGTTTCAAAAAGATTGACTCGTATTGATTGTTAAAGAATCGATAACTCGACATTGATCTCACAGCATGCGGTTGTCATATGTATTCTACACATCTATATATATATTATATATGTATGTGTGTATTTATATAAATTATTGTTAATTAATAATTGAATAAAATCCATAAAATATCATCCTTTTTCGTCGATCTACTTTTATTAATTGATTACACTCTTGACAGAGACATTTTTCGAAAAATCAATTATTGATTTCTTTAACAAATTGATTTATGATTGTTTCCGAATTTCATTTTTAATGATTTTTTGTATTCTTAGTTTTCCAATTATTATTTTAAGTGATAAGAATGCTTAGGATATATAAATGATATTAAATTGTTATTTTTATTGTGCTATTAAATCATAATTTAAATATATACTTTGATGAAATACCAAATAAATTTTAATTATCTCGAAATAGTTCTGCATATAGGTAATCGGTCTAACGTATCGTTAATTAATTTATATTCGAAATAGATATATATATATGATAGAGATCACTTCAGTCATATAGTAGAAATGTCGATTCTGAATATCGATCCAAGGTGTAAATTTAACTCGGATGTAAACTATCGCGAGTGCTTCCGATAGGATAAAACGAAAAATTATTGAAAACTTTTAGTTTCTGTCTGGATTGTAAGTAGAAGGAAGTAAGATAATCGCAGGGTTTCCTTATATAGTTAATAAGTTTCAATAGATCAGTGAAAAAAATTATTGTTCATGATAAAAAATAATTCGACATTTTTTCTCAAAAAATTAATAATCTTGTTAATGACTTTTTTGGAACACTTTTGGATATTTGTATTTGATATTTTTTGTATTTGGTTTTGAAAGTATTTTCAAAGTAATAGTTTAACAAATATGAGGACACGACTTTTGAGAAAAGTTGAAACGAGCTATAGTGCGGAAAATTTATAATCGTCGATAATTACAGAAAATCCAATTATCCGTCACGGTTATGTAGATGTTATGTAGACCTATCTTGTGTGTTGGTATATTGCAAAATTTCATTACTCGTTAGTAAACTCATATGCACGTATAGATGCATCGAGCTGACATTGTTGTAAATACCTACGAAATACCTTCGAGAACCGCAACATATCGGAAGCTTTTGGAAACTACCGAATTTGGAAAAGCAATCTATAAAGTATAAAAAAAGTTTGAAAGAAAAACGAACACATAAATCGAATGAGTTATATATGATATTATATAAAGTATGAATTAAGATAAATGTTAAATATTTGTTAAATAGATTCAATTGATTTGTTTATTAAACCGATGAAAGAATGAGACAAAGATATTATCGTATGAAGATCAATCGCGTTGAAATGTGAATAGTTGAACTTATGTGATTAGGAAAAGAAAAGAGAATGAATCTTGTTCGTACAAAAGGGTAGAGAAAAAGTACGGTTAAACTGCATCTGAGATAAAGTTTTCTAGAAAGTGGAACAATCTGTAAAGAAGAAAGATGAAGAGTAAGAAAGGAAGGAAGAAAGAAAAGAAAAAAAAATACCAAGTGGTACAAAATTAAGTATGAAAGTAAGCGAGAAAACTAGAGAAAGGAATAAAAATAGAGAGAGAGAGAGAGAGAGATTAATATTTCTAGGTAACACCAAAGGCAGAAGTGTAATTAAACAATATACGTCATCGTATAATTTTTCCTAACTGGAATAAAAATTGCTAGAGAATGTAGATCAATATAATATTAAAATATATTTAATTATGCTATAAATAACGTAACACTTTTGTAATAAAGTAAAATCCAAGAATTTAAAAAATTTTTATCTATAATAAAAAAGAATATTAAATAATTTTCTCAACCCCTTAATATAAATATTTCAAATTATTTTAACAATATAACCGAATATACATCATTCTATTTGTTCTATTGCTAATATTACCTAATTAAGAAGAAAACAATTTCTTTTGCCTGATTATTCCAGCATAATGGACTAGTTGAATCGTTGAATGACAAAGACACTCGAATCAACCCAAAAATTGTTAGATAATTTTTAAGTAAAAAGAAAGAAAAAGTAAAGATAGAAAATAATAATTTGAACGAGGAAAAGACAAAGTAAGCAGGCTTGTTTGTTCTTGCCATGTGGGTGGGTTCAAGTAAATGGACAAGTTTTAAAACCCTTAATCCTCCAATCCTGGCTACTGGGTATCACTCGACAAAGAGAAAGAGAAAGAGAAAGAAAGAGAAACGAAGATGAAAGAGAAACACGAAAGGAAAGGAAGGAGTAAAGTTTACAGTGGTGGTTGCTGCGGTTAAGCCGCTGTCAAAGTACCCTTGGCTCACTTTAACGTTCACTCCTGTGCCTTGTTAAGGGTGTTTACACCGAATGTTAATGCGCTACTTCCTGCAAAACTACCCTCAAATAACGACGAAAATTAAACCTGTGTTTCTCCTCTATTTTTTTCTTTTTTTCTCTCTTTCCTTTTTTTTCTACATGTTATTTTAGGTTCCGGTAGAATATCGTGCGAAGAAAAACAAATTATTCTGGACGAACATAATCGTTTGAGGCAACTGGTGGCACTGGGACAAATTCACGGCCAACCTGGGGCGGCTAATATGATGGAAATGGTATGTAAGTACGTGTAAACGTGAAATAGAATAATCTGCGCATATACATGTATATGTAATGTGTATACATGTGTGAATCATTTAATATACTAATTTACATAACTTTGAAATTATGCGATACATGAAAAATGATTTTCTAGAATAATCGTATGATTTTCAAAATATATATATAACAAAAGAATAGATTTATAATATAAACCAAAGTTTACTTTTTAAACAATTTTCTTACCATTGATATTATAGTTTACACTACCTATATACTTAAATGCTAATATCTGCATATATTGTTCGTAAAGAAAACTTCAAGAAAATCGATCTGAGTTTAATGGGAAATAAATGGCATAGTAAAGTTCTGTTTTTCATCTTCTTTTAGTTATGGGACGACGAGTTGGCAGACGTGGCACAAAAATGGGCAGATAGTTGCGCAGAAGTACACGATAATTATAGAAACGTTCGTAAGTAAAAACCGATGTCAATTTAAAAGAAAAAAAACAAATAAACAAAATATAAATTATCTGATAATAAATTGGCGCCATTCAAATCAATAAAAAAAAGAAAAAACAGTATTAACTTTCGTAACTATCTAATAATACAAAAAAATAGAGACGTTAGATGATGAGATACTCCTGAAGATAAATACACTTAAACGTTAGACGCGCTTATGTTATACACATTACACATATGTATGGTTCAGTGTCGAGAACCTTAATGGCATTTCGATCGATCGATTAAACGACGATGATTGATTTCTCAGGCAGATTCGCGGTGGGTCAGAACATTGCACGAACTTGGACTACGAGACCCCCGGGACCTTACGATAGCGAACCCAATTGGAGACGACAAATTTCAGGATGGTTCAACGAGGTCCAACACTACCACACTGGATACAGCAAGACTACTGGACACTACACGCAGGTTATTACGAAATTGGACAGTCTAACTCTCGAATAAGTACTTGCTCGAAACTCTCATCAATATGTATCACATTAGCCTAACTAATATTCCAAACTATTAAGATTCAATTTTACGTATCAAAGATTTGAAACTTCTATTTCGATTAGAACGAAAGAGAAAGCTGAAATCTTACTTAAATCCTGACCTAAACGCGAATGACTGGAGTATGTGTTTATAAGTCATTTATAAGCACACTTATTTTTATTTACATATGTTTTTATTTTAGCTTATGTGTTAGATGTCCTGTTATTATCGTTTACGTTAATTTATTTGAATTTTATATATTAGAAATGATTGGAATTTTTATTGATTAACGTTTATAATACTTTTTTACTCTCATACATTATACAGGATACGAAAATAAATTTGATTAAATGATATGTTATTTTTACGTAGTTTATAACATTTCATTTTATTTTATTTTATGTTCATTAATTACGCAGTTGGTTTGGAGCGATAGTTTTCTCATAGGCTGTGGATATTCATTCTATTACGATCCAGCTAAAGGATACACTAAAAATTATGTTTGCAATTATGGACCGAGGTGAGTAGCAAGATTAAAAGCCCACAATATAAATTTATAACGTTAAAGTAGATAAATGGGAGAGGATTAATTAATATATCAATAATTATCAATAAAATTATCGTGTTTCATTGAGCTCGTTACCATTAAAATCTATTTACAATTTAAACCTTATAAATCGTTTGAAAATATTTTACGATGTTAAAAATCGAAAATAAATTTGTTTCTTAACTTTCATGCAAATATTTTTCTGAATGAAATACAAAAATAAAAAATAAAAGAAAATAATTACAATTGTCCCAATGATAAGAGTAACCCGAGAATAATCACATTGTTAGCAATCATTATTTTAATCATTAGATAATTAAGTATCCCTACTTTGATTTTCTAGCGGGAACATCATTGGTTATCAACCTTATCAATCGGGACAACCTGCTTGTAATAATTACGGAATGATTTATTCCAATCGATACTCTGGTCTTTGCTGTAAGTACATGTAATCAACTCGTTACAAAAAGATCCAATTAGGTTAATTAATCAACACACAATATGCTAGTATAACTCGTTAAGATCATCTTTTAAAAGATTAGAGAAGCAGTCATGTTTTTGTACTTTTGTCGTTGATAAATTATATTTTTTATCATGGTTGACGTAGACGCGTGAGCTGAAAAGAATGGAACTATACAAACATTTTTTAAATACTCATCATACTTGTTTTAAATTAATAAAATTGTATAGTTGATCAGGAATATTGAAAATAAATTATTTTTTAATAATCTAATCATAAATATAACGATCTATAATGAATTTAATAAAATTTTATATTAGAATTATAAATTCCCGATGATGGATTTCTAACGTTTATGTTTTTCTTTGTTCACAGCACGAGGAAATTATTATCACCTAGGTGCATTATGTGCTTACGGCTAATCACAAATGATAACATATTCACCGAAAACACGACACTCGATTGTTAATCGAATGGAAAAGTGATTATATACGAGTCGCTATTATTGAATATGCATTTGATACTTGAGAAACGCACGCCTAAATGCTATTCAAACAAACTTAGTAATAACGACACTATGAATAATTAAAATTCATTAGTACGTTGAAAAATAAAATAAAATAAAATAAAGTTAAGTTTACTTTAGAAATTACCAATGGAAAAATGAAGTCGAACGTATCTGGAATTTTAGGTAGGAAAATTCGTAAAAAAAAAATCCAGGTTGAAATTTTAAATTTAATTTCTTTTTTTTATCTATTCTCTAGTTCAATTTATCTAGTCTTCCATCTAATTTAGTGTATGAATATTTTATGAATACTGTACAAAAATATATTATTAAAAAAGATATTGAAAAAAAATCATTAACCATACGAACGTATACGTACATGTATTTATAGTGCGTGCGCGCACATATACACACACGCACGCATAAATATTATCGTCTTATAAATTATGAGTAAAATTGAGTTACCTTAATATTGGAAACGACTCTGTTGCATAAAACGAAATCCCACGAGGATTCTAAAGTAACGTAGAAGAGTGACAACTCCGATAACGCTTAACGATGATCGATGAACAAAATTAGTTGATTTATTAATGGCTTTTCTTCCTAAACAAACAGCGACAATTTCGTTTAAATAAAAATAGAGAAAAAATAAAAAATATATTCACAGAAGTAATTCGATTATAAATATATAGTAATAATTTTTACGATAATTTATTAGAAAAAATATTTCACCATTTTGTTAACAAAATTCAACGTTTTTTTTTTCACGTAATGTATAAGAAATGAAAAAAACTTACGATTCTGTAATTGAAGAAGTTTACATTGAAATTATTGTATGAATTTATCGTCGATGATTCATAAACGGAAAAACGTAACTATATTTGGGGGAAAAACTGTAGCTTGCATTGCACTAGGCTACTATCCTATCCTTTTCTTGATTGATCCAACTTATTCTACCCTTGCGCGCGTAATTTTAATTAACTCTAACATGCGGCATTCTTAAAAAAATAGAAAACAAATCATTACTGTCACTTAAATAATGATTTATTCTTATTTTAAAATATATATGCACAACAGAGCTGAAATATTATTCACAATTAGGTTTGTTTGTTGTTTTTTTTTGATTTACATGTATATATATCTTTACAATCCGCAATAAGATAAAATCTAAATTATCAAAGATACGATCGAATGACTCGTAAGAATTCCATTCGTAAATTATTTAACTATGACCGCTGTATTTTTTTTTGTATTTTTTCTGTTTTCCTTTTTAAATTTCCCCGACTCCACTCCCTAATATATATATATGTACCATTAAGAATCTGATAATAAAATCACAGATCATATAGAACGTCGGATCCAAGAATGATCTTTTTCGATCTTTTTAAATCGTGGATTTACGACCCTCCAACGTGCAAAGATCTACCGATGATGATACTCAACCGTGCGTATGTCAAATGGATATAAGGTGATCAATTCTCACTGGAAGCTGTTTTTTTTTTAATTATCATAGTTTCGTAATAAATTTGCCATTTAAACAAAAATTATATATATATAAAAGAAGAGTAAAATGCATTTCAATGTTCCATCTTCGATTACTTTACTTTAATTTACTTTACTTTTCTTTTTTTGTTTGCTTTCTCTTAAATCTGTTAGAAGTATT